TCATTGTACTGTACTTCACAGCGTGGCTGAATGGCTGTTGATTTTGCTCCCGTGTGACAATTCAGTGCAGGTAGAGAAACATGCAACACAAGATGGCAGAATTCCTGCTCATTGGCTGGCTAGGGATGAAGATCATCATCATCATCTTGTATTGATTTCATTTCTCTACTGTCCCACAGCCAGATTATCTCTGGGTGGTTGCAACCAAAGACACCTCACAGGTACTAAGTTGGGGAAGACTTACCACCTCATAGGCTACCTGTGAAGACTTAACAATATATAACGTCAGGTATGACAATGCTACCAAGAGTGCCATGAAAAGGAGAGGTGGAAATTTTACTGCAGCTTTTGCTTATATCCCCCCCACCCCCAAGAATCTGCCTCACTTCTACCAGCTTGTTTGTGTTCTACAGTGCTCACTTCCGCCACATTTTCTGTCCCTCCTGCCCACAGATGGTTGTTCTCATGCCATATCGACTGCCTTCACCTTTTCCTTTGACTGGGGAAATGTAGCAAAGCAAAATTCCTTAGCAGGCTCTGTTTCCTCTTCTCTCACTTAAGTGCCTCCATATTTTTGACTCTTCCCTTGATAAGCTGTAGTGAGACAGGCTTCTATGCAGTTTCCTTTCAACCACATGTTTTTCAAGGCCCCTTTCTTTAATCAGAGGTTCATAAATTTCACTGCTGTTAGAAAAAGGAAGAACATCAAATAGGCTGCTGACAGAACGAGATGAAACTTAGTGCCACATCTTAGGAACTGAGTTCAATTTTGTGCATCTGGCAGAAAGCATTGCCTGTGTCTGGAAGGTATATAATCCTTTGCTTCTGCTTTTTTCCAGGTAGTTAAAATGTGCTGGATAAGGAAAGGCAGGTGCTGTATCTCAAGGGCTTTGGCTCTGTTGATGTTTCCTTCTTGACTGCACAAAAAGGAAAGCACATGCCTTGAAATTGGTCACTTTACTCTCAATTTTTAATTTCCATAAATAACCAGTGTGTCTTTTCTTTTAAATTTCCCTACCCTTTTAATGTCTTTCTAGGGGTTCCTATCTGCAGACATTTTATAGAATAAAAGCAGAATGTAGTTTCTGAAAGCAATTTTAGATGGAATTTTGAAATTGGTGATCGTAACTTTAGCAATAAGTCTACTCCTCCCTGTCAAGAATCAGCCGGTTCATTATGTTATGCCAGGGCCAGGAGAGGGAGTTTTGCTGCCGGAGGTGGGATGGTACCCCTGTCCTGCATGGTACCCGTCCTGGTACCATGGTCCCTAAAACTGTACCAAAACTGTACCTAAAGATGGTACCCCTGTCCTGCATGGTCCCTAAAACTGGCAAATTTATGTTGTCCCCTGAGGCAGAAATTCCCACAAGCACTTCTTCCTTCCCCTGGGAGTAAAAAAAATAATAATCATAAGAACTTCAGGATGTAACCTTATGTTCCTTGGAAAGTGTCCAGATGTCTTGGACTGCAATGTTGGCTGGGAATAATGGCCATGTTGGCTAGGAAAGATGAATGTTGCAGTCTAACACATCTGGAGGGTTTTTTTGGAGGGGTGTTTTACAAATGTGTCCACTCCTTTTAAAAAGTCATCTTGTCTTATGGATGTGAATTCCACTGAGCACAAATGATAGCCATAGAACTGTGTCCTGTTTTAAACAATGAAGCTTTTAAAATTCTCCATAACATCCTGTTCTTGCATCTTTTTAATGTCCTTTAAAAAACCCCCCAAATATACCAATCATAGAAATTCAATATACATAATTCCTTAAAAAATCAGAATTAATGATACCTACGAAAATCAATATTATTCACAACAAAGGGTAAAATACAAATAGTTGAATGGCATCCTGAAAATTATTATTTTAATATATCTTATTGCATTAGACAAAAACCTATCATTTTCTGGTCTACTTGCCTGGATTGACTGATTTGTGGTGTTAGGCATTCATCTTCTCAGCTGTTCTTATGATTGGCAGATATATAATGGAAGAACTTGAGCCCTTCATTGGTGTCCATGGTGGTTGCACATCTATGAAAATCTTCTCTCTCTCTGTTCCATTATGGAGGTTTGGAGTGAAAATTGTTCCTTAAGTTGGTTTTTCCTTTTCCCCTGGAAATTCTTTTGTTGTGTACAGCTTAATACAAATAAATTGTGTTTGAGCCCTCCTTTGAGTCATCTTAGGAATCTTGAATAGAAGATAGTGAGTTTGGGATGGTAGACAATGTTAAAAAATCAGCTATTTCAAAAGTTTTTGCTGCACTTTTGTTCCATCTACTTTGGTGGAACACATCACACTTCTGGAGGGCACCAGGCTGAAGAAGGCTGTGATGGTTTGTAGGAGTAAATCCCAGACCAAGAAGATTAAGATGGTTGCAACAATTGATTTTTGAAAGGGTGAGCATGAAAGTCTCGTTATTTCCCGATACAGAATTTGTGGCTTAAATGATGCATTATCCACATAATGAACCATGTTCGTTGGACTGAGCTGGAATGCTAAAGCCAAGAATGAGGCGCTGCTGGGAACTTGGTAGACAGAACTCAGAAAGGGTGGAGTGAATTCGTTGGGTGGGATTTATCTATTCATTTTAAAGAGTTATAAGACACCTTTTTCCAAGGTGGAGTGTAACAAAATGTAAAAGCACAGCACACTGTAAAACAATGATAATAATTAATAGTAAATAAAACAGTAAATAACAAATTTAAGAGATGACTAACTCTCACTGCATTCTTTGGATTATTTTGGATTGCTTTGCCTCACTCCTCAGATAAACACTTTGTCATTAGCTAAAGGTAATGGGCACTTAAATCCACGTTAAGGGTGCCATCCTATTTAAGCTTAGCCAGAAAAAAGACCCTGAAAGCCTAGCATGGCCCAGCCAGCTGTGGAGCATGCTGGGAGTTCTAGGGCTTTTTTGCTTATTGCCTAAACGTGCTTGGATTGTGCCTTAAGTAAACGATCTTTTTGTCCCTGAGAGAGTGGAAGGATTAACGGTTTCTGACATACAACAAACTGCTTGTTCCAAAGCACACAGAGCAGTGATATGGATGAAAGCAGTTCAATTTCAAGTAAGCCAATGATAGCCCACATTATCCAGATGTCATTAGCCATTCCAAAAGTATTGAAGGAGAGATGTAGATCGGCCCCCATGAGCTAAGCCATCATTGTTAATCCACCCCGTTCTTTGCAATGCCTTGTCCACAGATCGTCTTAAGAAGGCTACAACCCCACGCACAGTAATGTGTGCTTTAGTTGTGCCTTCCCTTGGTTTTAGTTCCTTGTGCCTTGATGTTTTTAGTGCATAACCATAGTCATGACAGCACACATAAAATAGATCAGGCAGTTCAGATGCCCAGAAATTGGACTGAATTTTACAGAAGGCTATAATTTACTCGAGACAGAGACTGGATTCTGGCAATGTGGGATTCCCCCCACCCCGCGCCCCGCATCACTGCAGTGAATTTGCCTTTCTCACAAGGACAGAATTATCACAGACGTTTAGAAATATCCTGCATGTTTTCATTTGTCTGAATGTCAAGAAAGATAGGAAAGGGTAAACCAGCCTTCCCCGACTTACCGCCCTCCTAATATGCTGGCCTACAACTCCACTGCCTGCGGCTCAGGAGGGCACCAGGAAGGTTGGTCCAAACACTTCCTCTGCCATCGAACGCCGTTTCTGTTGGAGCGGAGTTGTATTCTCAGATTTATAATCTTGAAATAAGTTTTTAAACTCCCGCCAGTAGGGGTCTCTATTTCCCTGGTCTCTGACGCCTAGGATCTCAACGAATCCTTTCAAACACCACCAGCCCTCAACACCAAACCCCAAACCCCAGTCCCAACTTTCTGGGACACGGATGATCATGGGAAGATTCATTTCAGCCTCCGTTCTCCACGATCTTTCATCATTAGGGAACAGGTCTCCTGGGCGGGCAGCAAAATTTCTAAGAGATCTCCCCACTGCCCAGCCTCCATAACTTCGAATCTGGGCCAGATCCGAAGCGGTGCACCCGCGAAAGGCGCGGGCGGCTGCCTCCCGAGCCTGCAGGTGACAACGCCGCGTCTGCTCCCCGCTCTCGCTTTCTCCAGGGAAGCGCCCTCGCATCCGCAGCTCTTCCTCCTCCTCTCGGTTCAGCGCTCCACGGCTCCCCGCGCCGCCCACTACTTGACTGTATCATGACTGACAGACGAGGCGGCCACTCAGATCTCCCGGCGTCTGGAGCCGGCACCTATGAGGACGGCCCGTGAAAGGGACGAGCGGTCAGGAGGGGCTGGCCCTGGGCAAAGCAGCCTAGTTAGCAGCCTCCTACAGGCAGGCAGCCAAGGAAGGGGTGGGCGAGTTGCCGCCGCGCTGGGAAATCCGAGCACTCCAGTGAACGGGCACCTGCTCCAGGGAAGGAGCCCCTCCCCAAATCCTCGGGCCGCCCACCTCCCTCTCTCCCGCGCGCTCGGGGTCGAGCCGCGGCTTTCTCCCTCCACCTCGGGAAAGGATGCCTGAAGAACTCGCGCGCAGCAGCGGCGGCGCCGGCGGCGGCGGCGGATCTCGGGGTTTTGTGTGCGTCTGGATGGAGACGGGGGAACGTGCCACTTGACCCGATGATGGAGCAGCGGCAGCGGCAGCAGCAAGGGGAGGACGTGGTACACCAGGCAGGTCTCTAAAATACCTGGCTGAGAGAGCGCTGTCAGCGGCGGATGGGGGATGAAGACGTATGCAGGCTAACTATAGCAGCATCTCCCTGTAGCCAGAAGGGATGTAACCTGCTCTCTTAGCCAGGTACAGCCTGCGTAATTCCCAGAACTTGTCCCACCGGGTGGGGAGACGACGCAGGCAGAGTCGCCGCCACAGGTGAATCGGATTCTCCCCCGCCCCGCTTTCTGGTCCAGCGGTTGTGCTTTTCGGTTTGGCTTGCGAATGCAGGGCGGCTATTCATAATCCTCCCCCAGCGCAGTGGCTTGGGTTGGGTTTGCGCGGACTCGGGGCTCCCTGGGCCGAGTGGGGGGAACATGGCTTTGCCGCGGGTGCTCGCCATCCTCCTCTTGGCTCCTCTGGGGTTTGTGGTCGAGGCCAGCCAAGGGCAGACGACGGTGCCTGGCAGAGGGAAAGCCGCCAAAGAGAAAGCGCCTGTTTACCACCACGGCAAGAGTGCGGCTCTTCCGTCCTCTCCGTGGAGCAGAGCGGCGGAGGAGAGCAGCTTCTTGGCACAGAGGCTCACCCAGGAGGTGCCCCCGCACGTCGTGTCTTTTCTCTACACCGGCGATTCCCGGGCCCTGAGGCGGGCCAACTGCTCCGGGAGGTACGAGCTGGCGAGCTTGGCCGGGAAGCCTCGCCTGGCTTCACACCCATCGCTGCACGGTGCCCTGGACACCCTCGTCCATGCGACCAACTTTCTCAATACCGTCCTACAGAGCAATAAATCCCGGGAGCAGAACTTGCAGGAAGACATTGAGTGGTACCAAGTGTTGATCCGCAGCCTGCTGGAGGGGGATCCCAGCATCTCCCGGGCGGCCATAACTTTCAACCTGGAGCCCTTGTCCTCTGCCCCCCAGGTCTTCCTCCAAGCCAGCCGGCAGGACAGCCAAATCTTGCTGCAGGACTTGTCTTCCGTGGCTCACTTCCTGGCCAACTCCTCCTCCAGTGAAGCAGAGTGGTTCCACAGCCTGAAGCGCAAGTGGAGGCCACACCAGCACCGTAAGCTCTCTGGTCCTGGTTCTAAGGCCATAGAAAGCGGCTTGAGGAGGAGGGATGGCCATCCTTCAGAGAAGAGCCACATCAAGTGGTCCTCTCCCTACCTGGAGTGTGAGAATGGGAATTACAAACCTGCCTGGCTGGTGACTCTGTCTGCAGCATTTTATGGGTTGCAGGCAAACTTCCTTCCTGAATTCAGGTAAGAGAGCTGAGGTCTTATTAAATGTCCCCTGACATCTTGCCATGGCAAATCCGAATAAGAGGCAATTTTGTTGGAGAGTGTGTGCTTTTAAGAAACCAAAGTTCAGTGAATGGAACCATAATATATGCTTGGGGGCATGCCTGAGTGGAACAACACCAGCCTTCTGTAGTCCTAGCTTTTGGCACAGTTTTCAGAGGTATTGTTTGTTAAGATGTTTGCTGTGCTGTCCTGCATGTGTCTACATGGAAGTAAGTCCTGTTGAGTTTCATGGGGCTTCTTTCTAGGCACATGGGTATAGAATTAGAGATGATCTTACTCAAAAATTAGTTCCTGGGGTTTTCTCCCAAAAAATTGTGCCAAGGAATCTATAACATTAGAATGCTGGTTTCCAATCTCCCTGGCAAATAGTGAGATGGGTTTTGTAGCCCAGTCTTACGTCTGTGCAGTCAGATGCAAGCTCTGCTGTGTTCAATTGTGCTTTGCAGTCTAAGATACAAATGTAGGTACAAACAGTATAGAGTTCCCCTTAAAATTTGGGAAGATCCTTCCTTAAAAAAAGTATCTGGGCTGCAGTTAATGGCATGCTCTAGAAGAAAATAAAGATCTATGAAATGGTTTACTCAGCCATATGATTTAGGAGTTCAGGTGATATGGAATAAGTCTCATGACCAGAAGTGGAAAGCAAAAATAGAATGGAAAAGTAACTGTTTTGCTTCTTGTGAGAACTTCCAGCCACAGTGAATGGGCTTACTTAGCACTTTGGTCATGGCTGTGGAGATGAAATCCCAGTGAAAGCAATAGGGCTTAAGTCAGTCCTATCTAGCGTCAGCTGTTGATTTCAATGGAACAAGCAGTGTGTGCTTGTGTGCAGGAAATCGTGCTGTGCTCATTTGGGATTTATTCCCTAGTGAGTCAGGGATTGTGGCCTTAGTCATCACAACCATTGCTGTATCAGAACCCATGGCATTACACCGGTGGTCTCCATCCTGAGCCCTCCAGATGTGTAGGGCCACAACCCCATCATGCTGACACATATGCAAATATCATTAGACATTTGTATCCAAAATTGCAGACAGACTAGCCAGCCCTGAAATGTTACCACCGTGCTTTCATTTGGTTCTGTGCATCTGAACTGCTTCAATTATCTGTTGGCTTTAGTTTGTATGCAGGTAATAAACTTGTCTGTTGAATTTATGGCATTAATGGAAGCAGTGCAATAAGACTAGACTCAGAGCAGCAAATGATTGACTCAGCTGTAATAGTTAATATCAAGTTATCATTATACGCAGAGGAATTTGGGAGAGCCTTTTTTCAATCAGAGTCATTCTAGAGATGGGGATTTGGGCCTAAAAGTGATTTCCCCTAATGTCAACTTAAGTTGGGATTTGGATCTAGGCCATCTGGTACCCCATCTGGTATCCCGGCAGGCCTGTCCAGCCAAAGTTGCCTTCATTTGCCATTACTATCTGAAGTGGGTCTGGCCATCTCTATTAGCAATTCAGCTGTGTTATCACTGACAAGCTCAAATAACACTTGCTTTGAGATGATCTATGATGTTCTCCTCCTTATTTTGGTATCTAAAGGATGAGTCTTATGTACCTTTAGATAGGACCAAGGCCTACAACTCCCCACGTGCACACTGTGAGTTGCAAATCTTGTTCCTGTTTGGAGATGAATAGCATGGCAACCTAAATAAGTTTTTTTTCTTGAACTTTTAGTAACGAAAGTAGGTCATTGCATTGATTTTTTTGGGAGAGGTGTAAGGGAAGGGTTCTTTTTTTTTTTTTTTTGGCCACTTTTGCTTGGGGAAGGAGCAGGTTAGCATAATGCTCACATATAAGATTGATGCACAGAGGCTGCCTGTCTATACAGATGGCCAGACAAATTGTGGTATCGTACACCTTTATTTTTTGGTCTATTGAAACAAAAGCTGTATATCAAGAAAAGCCGATGGCAGGGTTCCAAAATTTCTGTAAGATGGAGAGAATAATTTATTGTAAGGAGTAGCCAATTCATCCTCCATATTTTCCTTGAAAGTGTTCATATAAGAAAGTCACCAAAACATATTGCAATTATTTTATTTATTATTTAATTTATAGCCCACCTTTGGGTCAAAATTTGGTTGTCAAGACTGCTAACAATAAAATATAGGTTAAAGGTAGCATCTTAATGAAAACATAACATTAAAAACAAATCCATTGAAAGCACAACAATAAATGAAATAAACAGCACTGGGCTAAATAAGACCCCTTTGGTGACAGACAGACCAGCCCACATGCCAAAGACCTGCCTGCATAAAGGATGCCTTTCCCTGCCAGTCAACTGAGTCAAGAAGTCCCAGTGCCTGGGAGAATCCACTGGGAAAGCCCTCTCCGACTTCCTCACCAAACATGCCTTTGATGGGGATGGGACTGAGCCCATGCTAAGTACCTAATGAAATAGCAATATTGGTGGAAGTTTCAGATGATGGGTTAACAAACACTGGTGACACAGTATCAGGCAGGTATGCTAACACCCATCCTTGGTAGGATACTTCTGATTTTGGTGATATTGTGGAATTCCTTCTGTGAAGTGACCTTTTTCTTAGGCTGCCATAACCATGAAGATCCTTGCAGGGTCAGTAAACTCCAGCGCAGCCTTCCCCTACCTGGTACTCAATCGTTTTGGAAGTGCATCTCCTTTAAGTCCCTGCCAGTGTGTCAGTGGTCAGGAATGCTGGGTGCTGTAGTCCAAATCCTGTGGAGGACAGCATGTTGGGGAACACTGCTTTAGGGAATGCTTGTGTTGATCCAGTGTGAATCTGGATCCAACCCTCTATTTTTCCAGACAAGCCTTACACCTGAATGTCATTCACATGAGGATATCACAAGGCAGGTCCTGAGACACTTTGCTGCAGGATTTATCATGGAGACATATTTTTAAAAAGAAATTATTACAGAATATTTTAAAAAGTATTTGAACCCTCAAAGAAGGCAGCTGGTAGAAGTTCTCTTTTGCCCTCATCAGTTTTGCCTGGTCCGTTATGGCTGCTCTTTTTCTGGTTTCCTCCCTTCCAATCTTGATCCCTTTCCAACTTTTCCAAGCTGCTACTGTTGGGAGCTACGTTTTTCCCTTATTCATTTTCAAGCTCCAGGCTCCAAAACAGCAGTCTCTTTGCAAAATAGCTGTTTATTGCCAGTTTGCAGCTAACAAGCTACAGCAACTGAAAGACTAGTTCTCTGTGCATGAACAGAATGGTTAGTTGAACCCAGACTAGAAACTACTTCCAAAACTCCTCCTCCTCCGTAATGCAGGGCTCCACATGGGTGGGTCCTTCTGGAAATGGGCTAGCCTCTGAGACCTTTGCAAGGCCTCTACCTGGGTAGCTCTTCCATCCCGAGGCTGCATCATGTGGTCAGGGACCAGACAGGGCATGGACTCATCTCACACCTCTCCTTTGTCCCATCCCTTCCCTTTCAAAACCCTGTTTGTTCCCATGCTCTGTCTGAGAATCTGGGGGTGGCAGCCCTGAGACAGCCTCATCCTCCTCTGCCCCTTGATTCCCTACCATCTCCCAGTCTTCACAGTCCTCATCAGAAGAGTCGGTGCAGGCCTGACCTTGGAAAGCATGACAAGAATAATTGTCTAGTCTACAATTACCTGCCCTCTACAATTTTGCTCCAAGTGACTGGACCCCCTCTTTGGTTTCTTCCACTGGTGTTGCTGTCCAATTATTGAAGCCTTTCCCAACCTGACTCTGTTGAGCATTTTCAGGGGTTGGAGTGGGCAAGTACAGAAGCTTGTTTCCAACTGGACAGTTGATCCATGTAAATCTGGATCTAACCTTTGTTTTTCCAGACAAACATCACATGAGGATACTCCAGGGCCAGCCCCAAGACAAATTGTTGTAGGATTCATCTCAGGGACTTGTCTTAGAGACAAATTTAAAAAATCAAATTCCTGCAAATTAATTCGAAGAAGGCCCAAAATCCAGTCTAAAGCACACTGGGCTACTCTGAGAAATAAAAAGGGATGGTGCTTCTCACATCTTGAGAAGGTCCCCCGCTGTGTTATTATTTTGGATGTTTTCTAGTTTTGTCTGGCCTAAGACACTGTGCAGCCACAGGCGAAGGACAAGATCCTCCCACCATCTCATGTACAGAGGCTGACTGGACCAGCAGTTTCCAGCACTGGGACAGCATCTGTCTCCCACATGCACACCTGTGCCTAGTTTTGAGGGCACAGCACTGGCTGTGTGGCACAGACATCTCTGACTTCTGAGAGGGGAGTGGTCAGGGGGCTCAGCTGATCGGAAGCCCCTTCAGCCTTTGCCACCTGAAGTGGATGTCTCACTGCGCCTAACAAGAAGGCAGGCTCTGGGTACCCCGCTGGAAGTCTGCTTGTGTACTGCTTCAGTCAATGTGGGCCCCAGGATTTGGAGGGCCCCTGGGCAAGGCCCCCACCCTCAGTGAGCCTGCCTTCTCACCACCACTGTCACCAGCCTCCATCTTTGCTTGCCACTTCCTTGCCTGCAGGCAGAGAGCTGGGGAGCAAGGAAGCAGGGGCATCTCCCGCTCCTCCTTTCCTTACCTCTGCTCTCTGGACCAGCATCAGAGCCAGGTGTGGACAAGCAGGTTGCCCTGCTGAAGCTCCAGGGGGCTTTTATCAGCTGGCCCCTGCTCAGGTGTGGGCACTCAGCCAGTCAGGCCTACCCGTGGTGCTGGCCCTGGCTGCAGTTCTTGAAAGCTTCTCTCCTCCCTGTTTATAGCATCGTGTTTAGACAAGGCAGAACGCCTGGTGAAAGCAGTGTAGCTGGTCAGTAGGACAGGACTGGGGCGCTGCTACATACCGTGCAGCCAAGATAGTGTGGAATCTCGTCTTTGTTTTTGAAGCAGTACTTTCCACTCAATCTGTCCAGTAGAGGTCATCATGGCAGCAGTTACAAAACACTTCCCTACGTCCGAGGTTTAACCCCTTCTCATGGCACTTTGACTCAACATAAATCTTCCACAAACCTT